CAGAAATTTACAGCTATATTGGTCTAGAAGTGTTAATTTTTTTCCCATTTGTACAGGGATAACACACTGTATTAAATATGCAAGGGCATGTCTACCTGGGTTTAATTACAGAAACTAATAAAATGTTCTCTAAATAATGAAAATAAAAGAATAAGATAAGACTACAAGAGCAAGAAGCAATTTAAATATGTTCAGGGACCATTTTCATCTTCAGAATTAAGGATTATTTTAATCTTACATCATTACCTTTTCTCTTTTACTTTCCTTTTTAGTTTTATGTTAGGATTCCCTATTTTTAATGTTCATACAGATATTTCTTTAACTGAAATACCGAATAGTTTCTCTGGTGTGAAAAACTATAATAGTACACTAGATCCTATTGAGATAATTAATAATGTGAAATAGGAAGTAAAGGGCTAAAGGTGTAGGGAAAGTGGGAAGGGTGGGGGAAAGGTAATAAGGGAGAGGAAAAAATATGAGAAATTGAAAAATGGAAATAAAGTGTTTGTAAATGGGGAGGCAGGAAGGGGTGAAGGGAGGGCAGGGACAAGGGGAAAAAATGAGAATCAAGACCTATTATGTAAGGGTACAGGATCCCAATAATGAATGTAACTGTATTGTATACCTCGATTGTACCAATAAACTCAATAAAAAGAAAAAATCATAAAAAAATGTCAGATTTCAGGAGCTGAAAAATGAAGTCAAAATACTCATGCTTCTAGCCAAAAGCAGTTACAAAATTTCTAGACCCAAAGGAAGATATTTTAAGAGCCTAAAATAAATTATAAAACATGAAATCTGGTAGAGTTAATACAAGGTATACAATTTTTCTAAAACCCTGAAATGTGAGATAGTGAGAGGAAGTCACCAATTAATGAGCCACTATTAATTAGGAGTCCTTAGGCTTTCTTAGTTATATAGCAAAAATCCTAGAATTCATGTCTTCCTTTCCTGTTACTCCTACCACTTAATCTACCAACTGCCCATTCTGTCTCCATGAATCTGGAAGCTGCCCTCTTCTCCCCATACCACCTAGATTATGCAGTAGTCACTCAAATGGTCTCTTAGAGCATAAATCGAATACTTTCACATACCTGCTCTAAGTTTGTGTTGGTTTCTTTTCCTCTTGAAATCACCTTCTAGCACCTTCCAGTCTCACCTTCCTTTACTTCAGCCTCATCTCCCCACAGTCCTGCCTTTGCATGCTCTGCCCAGATATTCTGTCCTTCTTTGACATCCTCAGACACACACAGGTACTTCCTACCTATGATCTCTGCATGTATTAGTCTGTCTCATCTCGTCCCATCGTTTCTCTTGTTTGGCCCTCTTTTCTGCTTTGCCATCTTAGTTCACGTGTCACCTCCTTGGGGAGCCCTCACTGACTGCCATACCTAAACCTAAACCCCTTCTATCTCTGTCACATCCCTTTGATCATTTCCTTCATAGTACTTGCCATGACTCAGAATGGTTATTCATCAGTTTAATTAGTAGGTAGTTAATTAGTTGGTTTCATCTGTGTTCACACTGTCAGGAAGGTTTCAGAGGGCAGAAGCTTGGTCTTGGTCACCACTCTGTCTCGGTGTCTAACACAGATCCTGGCACGAGGAGTTTCTTTTTTACTATTATGCAAAAAAATGATTTTTTCACACTTGATAGGGTCCAGTCATTTTTAGATAATGATACTAATATACACTGTCAAAAGTCACATTTAGGGCCGGGGATTTAGCTCACCTGTTTAGTGGCCTGCCTTGCAAGTGCAAGGACCCAAGTTCGACTCCAGTACCCCCCCAAAAATAAGTCCCATTTAGCAACATATATTGTTTACAACCCTACTAACAAAATCCTCTCAAGTACAGCAAGCTATTGGGAATGTAAATCTTAAATCATTCCTGTTGGCTAAAGAGGAGGCAGACTCTCTGTTTTTTACAATTTGCAGTATGCTGTAGTATATAGAAATATAGGAAGGCTTTGGAGACAATAACCTGGATCTAGAATCCCAGCTCTATCAATTACTAGCTGCCTGATGTTGACAAGCCAAAATCTCTCTGAGTCTCTGTTTGCTCCTGTGTAAAATAGATTTATGCACCATTTGATCTCTAATGCTTAATATGCAGCCTGGAATGATGAGCCAATGGAATGCATGAGTTCTTTCTCTCTTTTTTTTCCTGTAAGGACTAATGAAATGCAACATTTAGAGTTTTTAGTGGTGTGCCTCGGGAAAGTAGGCACATGGGCACTAAGGAAACATTTTTTCCTTTCTTCTTGCTGACCTCCTTTTTCTTAGGTGTTTGGGCATAGGTAGTACCTATAGTATATACCTTGCTTTTTTATATATGTATATAAGCCATGCAAAAGCTTGAGAAAGCTGAGGAATTATTCTTACACGTAGGGCTTTCCAGGCACTCTCTCCAGTCAGTGAATATACTACAAAATGTATTCTCCATGGCCAAGTACTGAACTAGTTATTATGTGAAGAAACATACCAAGGTATGGACAAGTTCCTAGTTAGAGAAGTTCACCTTTTAGTAGAACAAACTAGACTAACATGGGTGAAACCATCTTTAAGAAAGCATAAGGCCTTAAAACTTGAAAACAGCCCATTTGCCCATCAGTTGGAGACTGGATAAAGAAGTGGTTTTTCTATAGAATGGAATACTACTCAGCTATAAAGAATGAGAAATTAGAGTCATTCATAGGAAAATGGATGCATAATAAGGATATGCTCCTAAGTAAAATAAATAAGTCACACTTGTAAATACTGAATAGTTTCTCTGGTGTGAAAAACTATAATGGTACATAAGATCCTTATGATATAATCGACAATGTTAAATAGGAAGAAAAGGGCTAAAGTTGTAGCAGAAGTGGGAAGGGTAGAGGAAAAGTAATAAGGGAAAAGAAAAAATATGAGAAAATGAAAAAATGGAAATGCAGTATTCGTAAATAGGGAAGGGAGGAGGGGGTGAAGGGAGGGCAGGGACAAGGTGAAAAAATGAGAACCAAGACCTGTCATGTAAAGGTACAAGATCCTGATAATTAATGTAACTGTACTGTATACCTAAAATGTACCAATAAACTCAATGAGAGGGGAAAAAAAGCATAAGGCCTGATTAAGAGCAAGACTGGGTAGAAAAATCAGTTCTCCTTCCTTCTGTATGTAGAACATCATGTTAAATGCTCAGAGGTGGGTGCATGTGGCAAGCTATATTTTAGAAATCTGGCCCTAGCCTCATTTCTCCAAAAGGGAGGACCTGTGTAGACTCTAGGATCCTTGGCTGGTGGGCCCAGGAATTGTCACCTACTGAAAATTAGCCAGTACATGGCCATGACAGTGCCTAAGGAGCCCCAATTCTTGGTATGAAAGGATGAACTAGGCCTGTCGCATCCCACTTTGTATGGATGGATGACATTGGAAGAGCAATTAAATCAAGAGATACCATAAGAGTGAGATCACAATGACCAGAGAGAGAGCTGAAAATAAAGCAGATGCCTCAAGGTTGAGGGCTTAGATGACTCATCAGGGTGCCCAGTGGTACAAAGCAGTGTGTCATCATTAATGGGTCATAATTTGGTTTATGAAAGGGGACCAGGCTGAATTAGGTGTCTTTTACTTCCTCTACCTTCCCTTTCTCAAATATTAATTAGATGAGCAAAGTTGATGGGTCAATATGGGGAAGTGAGAAGAGAGCCTCTGACAATGCCCACCTAGAAAAAAGAGGCTTTTCTTAATTTTTATTTGAATAATACTTTCCTGAGATGTGGGCAATAATAATTTATTTCATTCATTTCTTTCCAACTGAACAAGTATATATTAGACAAGAGCTATGTACTTGGAAGGGATTGAGGCTATACAGAATTCACTAAGGCACCATTGTGATCCTTGATACGCTACTAATTTGATAGGGGAAATGATCAAACACAAATCAATAAACATAGAAAATAGGTCATGAAACAGATGCTACAAGGATGGCCCAACATATTGAAGAAACACAGAAGAGAATATGGTTAGTTTGGTATGGGAGATCAAGCATATTTCACAGGAAAATTACTTGAGATCCAGCTTCAGAGAGGAGTAAGACTGAAGGCGTACAGGGGAGGAAAGTACAAATTATATCTGTGAAACCCATACATGTGAATGATTTGATGAGTGCTTTAATGGTGAGAAGGTCTCAGTGGCAAAATAATAAATGTGTGTAAGAAAGGTGGAGGAGAGAGGAATAAGAAAGATAACAGGGCCAGGGATTTAGCTCAGTGGTTCGGTGGCCTGCCTCTCAAGCGCAAGGACCCGAGTTCGATACCCGGTACCAAAAAAAAAAAAAAAAAAAAAAAAAAAAAAAAAAGAAAGATAACAGGTACAGATAAGCAGAGAAAGGCAAAATCAGTTTTGAAGATTAAATGAATTGTTATTTTCAGACTATCAAGCAATACAGCAGATACTGGATTCAAGAATTTATAAAACTCATTTCATTTGTACTGCATACCAAGTCATATATGTTTTTTGGTCAACTTGTTTTAAAATTTAAATAAAAAGCAAAAAAAAAATACTAGAAAAATCTATTTGCATTTTCATATGTGTTTTCCACAATCTGGAAAATATTTTAAATTTTGGGGTAGGGAAATTGGAGAAAACTAAATCCAAATTGTTATAATTTTTCTTGTTTAGGGAAAGCTGTAAATAAAATCTTCTGAGGCAAAACAACTGAGCACTACCAATTTCCTATATTAGAAACAAAATGTAATGAAAACGTTTCAAGTATGAGGAATTAATACTCAAAAGAAAAAAAATTTTAGCAATAAGATAAAAATTATAAATTTTACATTTAAAATATTACTTTACATTATACTGCACTTTTGAATTTCTAAATCTTCATTTTCTCCCATTTTAATCTCTAATTTAATAGTGTTTACATGCCTCATACAAAATTACTATAACTTTTTTTAACAATACATTTTAATGACCTAAAGGAACATATTTCTAACGGCTCTTTTCTCTTTTCTGGCAGATGACATTTGACCCAGAAATCTTCTTCAATGTTTTATTGCCACCAATTATATTTCATGCAGGATATAGCCTAAAGAAGGTAAATATATGAAACTATTTTCTTTTGTCTTTAAGTGGAGAGTTTACCAATATTGAAGAAAACATAATTATTTTATAGATCTGCTATTTAGTTTAAAAAAAAAAAGATCATCATCTTAGTATCCTAACATAGAATACTTCTAAGCTCGCTTGGCCCAACACACAGGCCATTGGCCACATGCAGCTCTTGAACCCTTGAAATGTGGCTGCTCTGAACTGAGATTCTTTAAGTGTAAAATATACACCAGATTTTAAAGAGTTGGCACTTTAAAAAAGAGCGTAAACTGTCACAATGATGTTTTATTTTAATATCTTGTATAACTGACAGTATTTTAGAATTGACAGTATTTTAGATATACTGATTTAAACAAAACTATCAAAATTCATTTCAGCTTTTTAAAATTTGTTTTAATATGGCTACCAGAAAAATTTTAATTGACATATGTGGCTTGCATTTCATTTCTACCTGGCAGTGTTGTTCTAGGTGGTAACTGAAGAGTTTATTTATTAGTTAACATTGTGTCTATCCATCTGGATATAAATTCAAGAATGCTATTGTTGTCATAGAGAGAAAGCTCAGTTGTGCAGTTGCTACATAGCCATGGCCTGACCTTGTACATTTCATAGATTATTAACTCATATGCAAGTTTAAGTGCAGGCATTCCTCAAGCTGAACAATGAGGCTCTGGCCTGTAGATTTCTGAGAGAAGAATTAATTCATCGGCTTTCCTGCTGCCCACCACCCTCCACCCAGGGATTCCTAGGGCTCTCCTGTCTTTGGACTGTCATTTCCGGGAGCCAGGCAGCTTCTGCGTGACAGACCTGATGTTTTTTGTGTGTGCTCCAGGCTCCCTCTTGCTGTCAGTACTGAATTCCTAAATCTCACTAAAGAAGTGGAAAGAAGTTTTCCTAAGCAAGCATTTAAGAGATTTAGAAGGCTTCATTTATTTAGCTCATCTTTTCCCATCTCCAGCCCATTACTAGGCATCATTTTGTTTTTGATTCATTAATCACTCAGGTTTTTTGAATTTGTTTGCATGAAATTTAGAAAACATAAAAGAGAATCCAGTGACCTAATAAAAGCCAAAAGGCAACTTACACCAAATAGTATTTTTTAAAATGTGAGAGATATTATATTTACAACAGAAGTTATTGAAAACCGTTTTCTCTATTAATTGTCCCAGAGACCTTGATAGACATTGCCCCAGTGCCTTCCCTTCCTCTCAGGTTTAGCTAATTGGGGCAGCTGTTTCATCCCTATTTTGTCATCTTCTAGGTAGGGTTTTCTTTTGTTCCCGTCTCTTGCAGAGAAATCACTTAGTCTCTATGGGCACAGCAAGGTCAGCAGTGAGGCTCCAAAAGCAAAATTTGGCTAAATGGTAATAGACAAGAAAGCCTGTGAAAAGCATGCAGTTATTTTTTATTTCCTGTTACACTAAGAAATGCAGATATATTCACATGAAATTTTTTTTTTCTCCCCAGAAACACTTTTTTCAAAACTTAGGATCTATTTTAACATATGCCTTCTTGGGAACTGCCATCTCCTGTATCATCATAGGGTAAGTGACATTCAGAGTTCAAAGTGAAATTCCAGGTGACTGAGGGGTCAGTGATCTGCAGGAGGGATCTCAAACTTCCTGTACTCATGCTGGCTGGACCAATTATCTGTATTTTCAGTATATTGCATCTGGAATTTTTGTTTTGTTTTCCCCTTTGTTTTGTTTCCATGGTGGGAACGAAGCCTGGTCCTTCTGAGTACTAATCAAGCACTCTACCACCACGGAGCTGCTTCCCCAACCCTACTATTTCACATCTTTACACATTTTGTCCAACTCAATTCCAAAGTTTACATGTCTTCTCAGAAACACAAGCTTTAAATCAAAGCAAACTGCGATTAGATCGTGGGATTTTCTCTGTGGACTTTGGACTTCTGATTTATAGAAGGTGGATCACTTGGCTTGAGTTGTGTGAAGCATATTGTGTTATTTGTTAGCTTGAATAATGCACTGCATTATTTTTCCCTTCACCTTTGTAAGACCCTATCTATATTTGACAGGAGTATAATAGTAACTATATGTCAAAGGTTTTCTTTCTAAAGGCAAGTTAATAAGAGAGCAGTCTGAAACAGATATGTCCAGATATCAGCAGAGCTTTTTAATGTTGGGATGGCTTTTTGGTTGATACACTGTAGAATGTGGATGTTATTTCTTCAGTATATTTTATTGGTTATGCTTCTAGGTCCTAACTCAAACTGTAGAGACTCTAGCTGGCAGCTTATCAAAAAGCAAAATGCGATCCAAAATGGTTAAGCCTGTCCAATTCACTTATAATCCTATCCAATACATTAAAGATCCAGTGCAAAAAGAATGTTCACCGGCAATGCCTGTGATGATATAGATGTCTTAAATTGTCAGATAAGGCCAACACTACCCTTGATTTTTACTGTTTAAGTGTTGGCATCCTCCACACTACAGAAGTGGGCTGTGGCCTATAGGTTTATAGCTGTTTTAACCCTGAACAAGAAATGGATGCTGAAAACACACACTAGTGACAACCTCAGCCCTTTTCCTCTTCATTGTTGAGGGTGTGCTGATGGAAGACCGAGGAGATGTCACTACTCAAACAGAAAGTAGGGAGATTGATTCTGTGTTAAAGGTTCTGCAAATCTTTGTTGAATAAAGACTAGAACAACTTGAGCTGCATAACTTGAAAATATTCAGCACGTTCAAGACAGAGAGTAAGTTAAAGATTTTAGCACTTGAAGGCGGAGGCTTACAAGAAATAAAGGAAGAGTACTGGCAAGTCCAGTCATTTTAAATATGATATAGTAAGGAACAAGAATGTATTTATATGGTGTTAATCTTGGTTTACAATTTCAGAACCTTTAATTGAGAGGGGAATACTTAAATTCAGATCAAACTGATACCTGATACTTTTCTAATTTGGTGACTCCCCCTTTATATGAGATATACCAAAACCTTAGGAAATAACTGGTTATATTTTTATAAGCAATTGTGATAATAACAACCACAAACATTTATTGGTTACTCTATATATACCATGCCCTTTTTAAAAAGTTGTTTAAATAGATTACCCATTTAATCCTTAAAATAATACTATTAAGCCATTATTTATTAACCTTATTAAATAAATGAGACAACTAAGTTAAAGGGAGAATGACTCAGTGGGAAGATGAAGAGCTGGGATTAGTAACTAAGTAGTTTGGCTCCACAGTCATATTTTTAATACCCCCCAAAAAATCCTGCTTTACCTCTGTGTTAAATATTATTACTAAAATCAATCAATCAAATTTACTGTGACACATGTTTCTTCATTAACCTAGTAGGTATTATCATAGATGTGGAAGAATTTTATCTGGGAATTTTGTTGCTAGCTAGCATGGGTCCTTGCTTTAATAGAATAGAAATTAAAACTAAAGCACAAATTTACAGAAAAAAGAAGCTTTAATTTGGAAGTTAGAGGGAAAATAAGAAAGAACTCTAGTTTATATAGCTAGAAAGGGTATATTCTGACACGGGGGTTTGAATTGGCCTTGTAGGTGGCCCTTTTAAGGATTATCTGGTGGGCTGAGGTCAGGTTGATCATTATCTCAGTCCTAGTGCTATAGCTTTGGAATCCTGTTGGCAGCCAGGTGGTTGTGTTCCCAGGAAGGGATTGTCTCTGTCTGTGGTGGTCTCAGTCATGTGGGGCTCAGCCATTCCTGGAATCCAGGTGATCACAGGTTTGGGACAATTGCTGGAGACATCTCAGCATACCTAAAGGTCCCTGTGAACCTCTTATTTTGGTGTCATTGGTCTTGGAAAGGGATGAGATCATATAAATTCAGGGCTAATAAATTCTTCCAGGCTAGCTTCTAGAGAAAAATGATGAACGTGCCCCTATGCAGAGCTGAGAAATTTAACTCAAGATTTACAGTAACAAAGGGTACAGAATGAAGGTCAAGCTTTGTTCTGCTTTTAGTTACCTTCTAGGCATCTGTAGGCCCAGTGAAGGATCATAGCAAAAATGGATTTTAAGTACTTGACTGTCCCAGAAGAAAACACAAATCATATGTTTAATGAGTAGCAGGTAAGAGCCCAGGTTGCTGCCTGTTCCCCATCTCTATCTATGGTGACCCTTGACCACATCATGACCGTGTCAATTCCACTCATAAAATATTCACATTTTTAAGGAGAGAAGAGATGTCTGAATTTATGCAGATACACTTTTTCTCATGGACAGATGAAACTTTATTTTTTAAAAAAAGCACTTCAAGTAAATTAAATGGTGTAACTGTCAAGTGTTCAAATTGTGAAGAAATAGTTGAAAACCTAGAGAGACTATAAGCTGTAGTCTTCTAACCTCATTCTTTGCCCAGTGTCGAAAACCTACACATCGGGCCGGGGATTTAGCTCAGCGGTTCGGTGGCCTGCCTTGCAAGCACAAGCACCTGAGTTCAATCCAGGGTACCAAAAAAAAAAAAAAAAAAAAAAC